CATTAACATTGATGGTTATAACTGAAATGTATTGACTTGTCATTGCCATGACTTTTTCTTTTTGTTGGGTTCTCCCCCTTTCCATTTAATTTCTTGTCATGTCAGATTTTTTTTAATTTTGGTACCAGGAATTGTACTTGGGAACTTTTGCTTGGGAGGCGGGAGGTGGAACCACTGAGCTGAAGCCCCGACCCCCCAAGCAGCAACTCTTTCCTTCAGCACACTCAACAGCTTTCCCTTTTTCCCCCACTCCCCCAACCTGCCAACATTGCATTTTCAAATTAAGTTCAGCCAAGGAACTAAGAGAACACTATAGACCTTACTAAGTCATGCAGAGAAGCACAAGCAGAATGCTGCACTGGGCTGAGAGTTTAGCCAAAGATCACATAGCCTAGCCTTCTAGGCCAGCTACCTTGCTGCCTCTAGGACCTCAGAGGTATCTTCTCTCACATGGGGGGGGTGGGCAGAGTACAGATGCCAGGCTCTAGAGTCCCCTTGTTCATTCTCATAGGCCCGTGGCTGCCAACTAGGGTGTTAGCCAAGGTCCCCTTGGGAGGTTTGTGGAGTAGGGCTCTGGGGCCTTGCTCCAAAGATATTGACCCAAAAGTTGTCACCTCCTGGTGCTGTCTAGACAATCCTTTTCTGAATTTTAAAAATTGTCCAGGTTACTCCAATAAGTACCACTCATTTAGACAGTGGAGACCCCCCAGAGCCCACCTTGTCTTCTCCATCCAGGGCAATGTGTATCCTTCCATGTCTTAGTCCCACTATCCATGTCCTTTCTTTCCTCAGGGTGATTCTGGGGGCCCCCTTGTCTGCCCCGTACAAGGTGTCTGGTACCTGATGGGGGTGGCCAGCTGGAGTGCAGAATGTGTAGCTCCTGTTGGCCCCAACATCTTCTCCAGGATCACCTACTTTATCAACTGGATTCAAGAGAAGAAGCAGGCCAATCCTGATCCTGACATCTCCTTGGCCCCTCCTCAGGAAAAGCCGCTGGCACTGACTGGCTTAAATTCTCAGGGCACTGTTGAACCCCAGATATTCATAGTCCTGCTATCTTCTCAGATCTTCCTGCTACAGCTTATTTTGCTCAGGAATCTGTAACAGGACCACTGCACCCCTGAGAAGCACAAGCTTCTTCCACACAAGGCTCCTGGCTGAGTTCTACACTATCCTTCTGTGCTTCTATCTCTGGGCTTGTCTGTCCATCTGAGGCCAACTATGTTCCAGAACAAAATAAAAACAAATGAAAACGGACCTGGCTCTTCTTTCTCACACATCATTGCCATGCCTCACACCCCTCTGGGCATTGAGCTGTATGTTATGAGGCATTCTCCCCCTTCCCTGGGCAGGGACACCCAGAGGGCCAAGCTGGCCATGTGGGAGCTGAATGGTTCTCCTTGGGCAGTTGAATTCCACAAATTTAGGTCCCAATTATGCCCTAAAGGACATGTGTGCTTCCAGAAAAATGAGCTAAAATGCCAGGCCTAGGCCTCACCATGTGGAGGGAGCAGCTTGTGCTCCTGGAGCTGGGCATAAAGAAGTGCGTTTCAGATCCACAGGTCCCAAAAGTGCTTGTAGAGAGGTTGCAGATAGACTGTAAAGGACCCTGAGGTCTAAGGGCTTTCTTCTTATAAGTTGATTAGCTTGAGTATTTTGTCAAATGGAAATCTGACTAACACAGTTAGGTACCTGTACTGGGCATAGAAAGGAAGAAATTTTGACTCGAGAAACCAACCAAAGTTAGTGACAGAATCCTGGAGAACCTGGAGGTGGCCTTGCGGTGGCTGTAGCTGGGGGTGGAGGATAGGGCATTGAAAGGACAGACAGTTCTGTAAAGATCACTCACCTACCCCGTTCTTTTTTTTTTGTACCGGGGATTGAACTCAGGTCCTTGTGCTTGCACAGCAGGTGGCCAAACCACTGAGCTAAATCCCCGGCCCACCCTACCCCGTTCTTGCCTCTTGCCTCCTCATGGTTTTAAGAAAGGCTCCTTCATGTTCCTCATGTGCCAGGGTTGCATGGTGGTCGGTTGTGAGTACTCCCCCCAACTACCTATAAGAAACTGCCTTAGGTTAGATCTAGAATGTCCCCCAGATGTGTTCAGAGGTGGGGCTTTTGGAAGGTGACTGGATTATGGGGTTGGTGTGGGTGACTTGTTATTAGGAGATGGATTGAAGCAGGACATTGGGGGGTGTGACTTGGGAGGGTATATTTCCATCCCCTGCTCCCCTTTTTACTCTCCACTTCCTGGCAGTCATGGGATAAGCAGCTTTCCTTTTTCTCAGCCCTTCTACTGTGTCATTCTGCCTTGGAGCCAGCTGTCCAGGGACAGTAACGATGAGACAAAATAAACCTCTCCTCCTTTAAGTTGTGAGTGACCAGTGACTAAGTGACTAAGACACCCATCCTCCAAACCCCAAGAAATAAAGTAGAATGCCCTCTGGGATGACAGGCTCCTCCCACTGTAATTTTATACCCAGTTCAAAAAATTGCAAGCTTGTGCATAAATAAGCTAAATGTTTGTGTGAACCCAAGGCCTCATGGATCTCAGGCACTCTAACCACCGAGCTGCACCCCAGCCCCTCTTCCAAGGCTTTAAATTGAAGCCCTGATTGTGAGAGTTGTCTGGAGAGTAAAATGCAAAATAGAGTAAGAGAAGCGGTGTGGTGCTTAGGGCCCTCTCCTGGAGCTCCTCAGAATTTCAGTCTTCCACAGCATGTGTTCTCTAGCTATAACCCTGGGGAATGTGCACATGGCAGGTGACTACCAACCTCAGAAATATGATTACTACATGAAAAATACAACAGACAATGTATATTACTTGAAAAACAATTACTGGAGGAGATAGGCCACAAATTTTTATAAGTATAATAAATTATGGCTATATAAAAACATTATTAGCAATAAGACACAAGACCAAAAAAAAAATAAAAATACAAGGCAAAAAATTATATATGAAATATATAATAGTTGAATTAAATAACACAATATATTGGGAGAATACTAGGATTAAAGAAGAAAGAGGAGTGCAATTTTTACTGTTATGAATGTTAGGCCATTACAAAGTATGGACTTTGGAGCTGGTACACTTCAGTTAGGATAATTTTCAGTGTTTATTTACAAAGAATCCAATTATTAGTGAATGGTCACATAATGGAATAAGAAAGCCCAGAACTGGAGCTTGATACATGCAGCAGCAACAGAGTTTGCCAACCCTAGGCCCTTGGGGACAAGGAAGTGACAGCTGTAAAGGGAAGGCCGCTTGAGAGAAGCAGAGAGACTCAGCCCAGGGGTGCAGCCATTTGAACACCCTCAGGGAAGGTTTCACGAAAATAGATACACTGACTTGTTTATCCCCTTCCTCAAACCCTCTACTGAGGCTCCTCAAGGACTGAAAAAAGCTGTAGCCACAGAGCAATGAGGGTTTGTGGGTTAGTCTGTACTAGGAGAATGGGGAGGTATAGCACGGAGCTGGAGGGACAAATGGAAGGCAGCTACTAGAAGTAGTCTAGGTGACTTGGATCAACATTCCTGCAAAAAGAGAAATGGAAGGAAGGAGGGAGAGAGGGAGACAGAGAGAAAGGATTTTGACTAATTTGTTTTTTAAAATCTTCATAAAGGTATTGAAAAAGTACAGAGCACGGATTTGCCAGGCTAAATTGTGGGAGAAAGTCTGTAATCAGTGGGTGATCAGAAAACTGAGGCCCACAGTTGTTTTTGCTGTGAGTGTATCTTACAGCTCATGACTAAGCTTCACTTCAGCAAACATTTGCAAAAGCAACAGAAGTGGAGTCAGAAAGAGAGCTGTGTCAGGGTTGTCCAGAGAGAGAGGATCTATAGGGTTTCTGATCATTGGGGAGATTTATTTGACGGAATTGGCACATGTGATTATGGAGGTTGTCAGGTAGCTGGTCAGCAGGCTGCAGACCCAGGAGAGTTGATATTATAGTTCCAGTTTATATTGATTGTAATTTTTATTTTCTACATTTTTGGTATTTTGACATCTTGAGCGACTTTGCTGGTTGGGGAAAGACTCTCTTTCTATCTATCTATCATCTCTCTATCTATCTATCTATCTATCTATCTATCTATCTATCTATACACATACATTTACAAAGTAGGGTTACAATGGGAGCCTGCAGAGTCATGACATCTGCAGGCTGAAGAACCAGGAGATGCAGTTAAAAGTCAAAGGCCTGGAACTCACTGCAGAGTTTGGTATGAGTCCTTACTAGAAAGCCAAAAGCCTGCATTGGAAGGCTGACGAGTTTGTGCTAGAGCCTGAAGCAACTGGAGATGAACATCCAAAGGTGATGGTGAAGACAATAGCTCCTTCAAAGAAACAAGAGGGAAAATTTCCTTCTTTCCCTTTTTATTCCATCTAGGCTACAAAGCTACAAGCCTATTAGTTGGTGCCACTTACATTTAGGGTGGGTCTTCCCGCTTCAGTTTGCATTCTACATGTCCATCACCTGCAGACACACCCAGAACTGTGATCCACTAATCCCCTAGGCATTTCTTAATTTATTCTATTGACATCACAATTAACTACCACAATCTACCCCTTGTCAACTTCACAACTGGAAATATTTCCTCAAACCACATTTATTTTCCATATAAAATAGCAAGTTCATAATTACACCTAAAATGATACAATTATCCTCTGTACAAACTGACATGCACTAATTCCATCCCCAGAATAGAAAGCAGTTTTTCTTTGGGTGATACTCTTCTAACATTTCATACCTTAACATTATAATATACAATTAACAATACTTAACTGATACTAAATCTAACAGCATTATGTTGTAAAGAAAGAAAATAAAGATACCTGCTTAATGTATGTGTACATATGTACAAACATATTAATAAAACAGGAAAATAAAATTATAATTAGAAACCTTGTTTCTGTAACTTGTCATAGGTCATAGCTGATATTTATAACCTCCTTTGTCTACCCATTCTGTATTCCCTTGGACTTCAGAAAGCACTTCAGCAGGTCTTGGTTCTTTCCCTGGTGGGGTGACACACACCTTCATATCTGAAAGTTCTGGGTACTTTCTCATCCTGCCCGGATTGGGTTCTTGTAGTTTTCCCTTGACCTTAATAACAGGGCATGGTAATACTAGGAGTTGCCCTAAGGGATCTCCTGCACTCCAAGTATATTCTTCCTTTCGTTGATTGTAGAGTAATAGTCCAATTTCCCCCTTGATAGTCTGGGTCAATCACCCTTGGCAACACTAACTCCCTTTATTTACTCAGAGGCACGGAAAAACCCAAACTAACCAGGGGGAAATTTTAGCTTTCAGTTCAATGGAATCATTGTTGTGCTTCCTGGGGCAAGGCTTCCCCACTCTGAAACTAACACTTCTAGGGCAGCAGAGCATAAAGTTGTGGGAACAGGAAGCAAACATTTTGCTAGTGGGTCACTAGGGATAATTGTGAGCGGTACCATTTTCATTCCCACCCCTTGTTTCCTGGAGCTATGAATTCAGGCTATGAGAAAAAGAATACCATGTAGTGGCCTTTGATTCAAAACATATACCACCTTCTGGAGAACCTTTCCCCAGCCACACAAGGTATTGCCACCTAGCTGGTTCTGTAAGTGCATCTTCAAAAGGCCATTCCACCTTTCTATCAATCCAGATGCTTTTGAATGGTGAGAAACATGGTAAGATATAAATTCCATGGGTATGAGCCCATTGTCTCACTTCTTTGGCCATTATATGTGTTCTTGGTCAGAAGTAATGCTGTGTAGAATACCATGACACTGTATAAGGCATTCTGTGAGTCCATGGATGGTGGTTTTGGCAGAAGCATTTTGGCAGGGAAGGCAAATTCATACTCAGAATAAGTGCCTATGCCAATAAGGACAAAAGTGCTTCCCTTTCAATGATGGAAGCAGTCCAATATAATCAACCTGCCATCAGGCTGCTGTATGATCACCCTGGGAAATGGTGTCATATTAGGGATTCAGTCTTCATTTCTGCTGCTGGCATATTGGGCACTCAGCAGTGGCTATGGCCAGATTAGCCTTGGTGAGTGCAAGCCTATGTTTCTGAGACCATATGCATAAACCCCATTTCTGCCACCATGGCCACTTTGTTCATGAGCCCATTGGAAAATGACAGAGGTGGCTGAAGAAAAGGTTGATTTCTATCCACTGAACAGTTAATCCTATCCCCTTAATTTTTGTTTTTGTTTGGTGCTTTTTTTTTTTGGTACCAGGGATCGAACTCGGATCCTTG